ACAGCTGAAGTTCACTGGTGATGTCCTGACCTCTCTGCTTTGCAAGTCCCTTGGCAAGTAAGCAGAGCATTAACACCAGAGAATGGTATTTTTCTCTGAGACACTACCTAACTATCAGCCAATGGTATCCAATCCTACCTGCTTATCTAGGCACTGCCAGAAAAGCAGAAGACAAAACTGTGCTTATGTCTCCAAGATCAGTTCCAGTTTGTCTGCTGAAGTTACTGCTGCTACAACATTTTACAGTATTTGAGATTTTTTGCCAGGGTGTTTGTCACACATATTTTTTTCAGTCAGAATGGATTTTCAAATTATCTAGTTTAATTTTCTTTTGCCTGGTTTTACAGACACTTCCCAGTGTTCAGTGCTGCTTTAATGAAAGCACTGGTCTTACCTGCAGGATGTCCCCTGGTAAACTTGATTAGTTATACAAGCTCAGATTTTTCATGAGCTGGCAAGACCTCTTGAAACACTCCAAAATATGTTGCATTAATATATGGAAAGAGGCTTAATCTACTTTTATATCCATTTTCAATAAACCACAATTTTCTCCAAAAGATCTGCCTAAAACCCTTGTCTCCCAACTTGAAATATGTTTCTGAAAGTAATAACATTTTCCATTACACCAGCAAAGTAGATATTAACTTTCATTTCTCTGAGTATCAGAACTTCCCATCCCTAAAGGGATGGTTTCTGTGTATCTCTGCAAACTTGATAAATGACGTGCAATGAATTGAATTGATGTCCCACCTTCAGTGCAGGGTTATTATAAAAGATAGGGAGCTACAGTAAGTGGAATCAGAAAAAAAATCTCCTTGTGTTCTCAGCATACTTGGAGAATTCTGGAAAAATTAGGACAAGGTGTTTTACTTCTGTATGTGCCCTTAACTGTAAGGGCAGCTTGCCACATGCTTCACTCATTTAGAGAAAACATCCCTGTGATGGATGACCCAACTATATAAAAATAACAACCTGGTGATAAATTTAATGTGCAGCTTTGACCTCCTGCCTTTTTAATACTGCTGCCGTTTTGCTTTAGCTGGCAGGAGGGAGTCCAAGCAGTCCTCCTCATCTGACCCACCACCCACACCATGAGCACTACTGGAAAAAGGAGCACAGAAAAGCTTCTCTTTCCCCAGGAATACAAACCTACCAAACACTACAAATTCCAAATTATAATTAAAGCTGTAGTACAGAGAAGGAAGACCATCCCTTGATTTTTTGCGTGTTGAATAAGATAGAAAAAAGTGGTGGTAGCTTTTGGGGTTTGGAAAGGACTGAACAAATTCCCTGTTGCAGTCAGAAGCCACTTTCTCTCTGAAGAGACTTAAGCAGAGGATCAGCTGCTGGGTGAATATCATGGTTCATCACTGATCACTGATTTGTTATTTTCTTTTCCTGTTTTGTTGTCCTTTTGTAGCTGCTGTCTGCCTATTGTCTCCATGTCCAGTTGAAATCTCCACGGTCACTCTCCTCTCAAGGTGATTGGTGTGGTGAAGGCAGGTGAGTTGGGTATGTGCTGTAACACAAGCCTGCCCTCTAATCCTGCACTTCAGATTTCTTCTAGTCAGGCTGTCCTACTCAACAGGTACATTGAAAAACTCCAGTGAGAAATGGATCTGGCTGCTGTCAAAGAGCAGGAGATTGGATGAGCTGTTTATTCATTCTTTAAAATAACCTTAGACAAAGCTGCAGCTTCCTTGGACTATGCTTCCATCCAGATATGCAGGTAAGCTAGGTATGGTGGGGGTCTCTGATGCATCTCTGATGATTCTCCTCATGCTTTATCAGAAGCAAAACAAAAATGCTCTTGATGCTGAAATAAGTTCCCCTGATGTACAGACACCTGTGCAGTGGTCAGTCTGATGTCTGGACAGACACATTCCTGAGAGAAGATCCTCAGATACCTGACATATTTTGTCCAGCCCAAACCTGCAGGCATCCAGCCCCGGTGTTTGTTGAAAGGTGACGACTAAACCAAAAAGATGCTGGGTTTGCTCTCCTGCTCTTAAAACACCACTGTTTTCTTGAAACCCATTGTGCCCATCTCTTCCAACCAAGATCCAACCTGACTCTGCTTTCCAGCAGCGAGCCAGGGCTATCACAACATCCCTGTCTGATGGAAATAGCAGTTTCATTTCTTCTTGAATAATTTGTTCAATGTGAAATGGGAGTGCTTTGTACTGAAAGATGTATAGCCGATACTACAGATAAAGCCAAAGGGTTTGGGGATTTCTCATGCCTGCTAAAAGGCATGGCCAGAAAAAGACCCACCCTTCCCTCTAAAATGTTTGTGCGCAGGTAACAAAGATATGCAGCCTGAATTCTGATAGTAGTTGAAAACGTTATAAAATCCATTTTCAGATCACATCTAGCAGGCAGACAGGCTGTCATCAGCTCTGATTCTGCCATTTCATTTTCACTCGCTCTCATTCATGTGGAAAGATCCTGGAGCGCCCTGGGCTGTGATCTGCTCAGTTCTATTTTTGGCTGTCTCCTTTCTGAAGGAAGGTGATTTCTCACATGTGGTGTTTTCCAATTATCACTTGTTAAGACATACCCCTTAGTTATATTACAAAGAGAATCAGGTGGCAAGTACATATTTACAAGTCTTTATTTCAGGGCACAGGAATACTTTATTGATCTGAGCTTTGAACTGAAGCTCTGGGTACTCTTGGGAATCATGTCTCTTCTGAGTTGATCCAGCCTCTTACTCTTCTGTGAGAGATAGAGAAAATTAAGTATCATCTAATTTATTTGTGTGAATACTTATGTGAATGAATACTAATGTGAGTAGGCTGTTGGTGGTCCACTGTACAATATTTAAAATATACAGCTGACTCCTACAATATCCTATACTGTATGTGATATTAAACAGGCTTTTTTTTCCAGTTACTCTTCACCCACTGCTCACCAAGCTGTGACTCAGCTGCTTCCTTCGTTTCAAAAGCTTAATCTTTTTGGTCTGAAGTATTACTTTGTAAAGCACTTTATCAGAAAAGCATGGATTTGTGGAGGGATGAGTGGGTGAGCAAGCACCTTGCTGTGGCCTTTCTGTTTTCTCTGTCCCACTCTCAAGATACACAGGATTACCTTGGAGCTGTCTCAGCAGCATAAGTTTGAAAACTGAAAAAAGCATGATAATGATGATAAATGAAATATTTCTATTACTAGGGGTGTATTTTGCATCGAAAATTATCCCAAATAATTGACAACATCAAAGACAGGAAAACAAAACTCAGCAACGAGTCTGGGGTTGCACAAGAATTTGGGAGGGGAGAAAGCTGGGACAGCTGACCCCGACTGACCAAAGCGATATTCCATAACATATGGTGTTACCATCAGTATATAAAGCTGGGGGAAAAGAAAGGAAGGAGGGAACATTCTGAGTGGTGGCACTTGTCAAATCAGTGTTATGTGTGATGGAAAATGGGAATATCTGAACACCCACCTCCCCATGGGAAGTGGGGAATCAATTCCTTGTTTTGCTTTGCTTGTGTGCATGGCTTTCACTTTACCTATTAAACCATCTTTGTCTCAACCCACACAAGATTTTTCACTTTAACACCTCCTATTCTTTCCACCATCCTGCCAGGGGGACTGATGGAGTGGCTGTGTGGGGCTGACTTGCCAGCTGGGGTTAAGCCATGATAATTCCCCATCATCTGCTGGACCAGCAGAGTCCCAGGGCAGGTCTCAGAAGTTCCCCAGCAGGACCAGCAGGGTCTTGCTTGGAGCAGCCTTGTAATCAGTTGAGGGTCCCTTCCGTGTGAATGTGCAGATCAGCAAAACCTCCAGTCACTGGTTTTCCTCCATCCCACAGGCTCACAGAAGTGGCAAAGGTCCCAGTGAGAGCTACTGAAAAGAGAGGATCTGCTTTGTTGGTGCTGTGGATGTTTCATGGCTAATAACCTTTGACTATTTCTGGCAGCCATCTTCTCCTTTGCACCAAGTGGTCAGCAGTTGTCTATTCTTGTTGAAACCTGAAAAATTTGACATATTTCTGCAGTTGCTGTTACTTTGATGAGCAATTCATGCCAGGGTCTTTTCACCATCAGTTTCCCTCTTCCAGCTGTTTGCTCACATCTCTTGGAATGATTTCATTAGATCAGCTTCAAGCTCATAGTAGTCAATACCCCAGTTTCTTTTACAGATCATTGAGATGCGGTTCATTTTCTTGCTTGTAGCTGTGGAGACTGAAATTGAGATGAACTAACATTCCCTTATTTTCTGGCTCTTTTATACCCATCTTTTAATCCCAAAGAGTACCAGATGTAAATATGATACCTGAAGGGCCTGGAAAACTGGAACCGAAACTGAAAGAGAAAACCAGAGTTTTTCTGAGAGTGCATACAGTAAGTGTAGGAGCTTCCTGTCTAAGATATGAAGTCCACAGGTCTGGACTGTGAAGCCTTACTTTTTACTGGGGCACCCAGTCTTGGAGATTTCCATGAGCAACAGTGAACAGAAAGAGTGCTTAGAAAGAAGAAAAGATATGATCAAACTGCAAAAAAACATGGCCAACAAATTGCAAAGTTCAATAATAGCATCAGATAGCTGGGATGGAAAATGCCACAAGAATGTATGATTACTCTCTGCAGAGACTTGCAGTTGAAATCTCAGTACACTAAGTGGACTATTTCCTTATCAAATGTGACAGAGGGCAGAGAAGACTGTAAGGTACTGTACAAATAAGACCTATAGCCATTATTTAAAGTCACTGTACTGAATAGTCTGACACATGGAAATTCATATTCCAGTGGGATACTATGCTTAAGTCATTGTCTGTGCCTAAATCACATCTCTAAACCTTTTCTACCTGTCAGTCATTAAGTTAGAAATAATTATGAGATTGAACAGTATGTTACTGAAAAAATAAATGGTATGAGGAAAAAAAGGTAATTTTCCTCTGTTCAGCTTTGTTTTTCATGCTGCTTTCTGTGCCCTTCCTGCTTTCTTTGTATAAGATGGATTCATCCTAATCTGAAGGAAGACTCCAGTGGCCTGCAAATAGTTTATTCTGTATGTGCATTTCTGATCCATTGAATCACAGAATTGCAGATTCAACTAGGTTGGAAATGATCTCCAAGACCTCATGAAGCTCAACCTATGACCAACCATCATCTTGTCAACTAGACCATGGCACTGAGTACCACATCCAGACTTTTCTTAAGCACCTCCAGGGATGGTGACTCCACCACCTCCCTAGGCAGCCCATTCCAATGCCCAATCACCCCTTCTGTGAAGGGTAATATCCAACCTATACCTCCTCTGATGCAGCCTGTGTCCTCTTGTCCTATTGCTAGTTGCCTGGAGCAGCCTGACAGAATAAACCAGCATTCTGGATTTTATTGAAATGGGTTTTATTGAAAAGAATAAGCTAGGGAGTTAATTTTTAAGACAGCAGGGTAAATCTGCTATAATTTTGCAAAGTTAATTAAAAACTGAACAATCCCGTGATTGCATCTGTGTTCCTATTAAGACAAAATCAATAAACCAATGGGTTCGAATCATGGAATTGGTAAATTAATGCAGTGAGTAATCAAACTTGAGTCTGAGGTTAGCAGTGAGAGGAATTACTTCGTGTTAGTTCTGTTTCCAGCTTGCATGAGAAAAAGGAGCAGAATTCAAGGAAAAGGCAGCTTCCTTTCCATCTCTGGCTGCAGGCTGTAGTCTAACCAGCTCATCAAACTATTTAGTCAGTGAAGAATCGTTTTGGTTTCAGGGCCATGCCAAGGAGACATTGCAATCCCATCCTGTTTCACTTTGAGGAAATCCGATTTATAGAGCTCTCAAAGGTCCCTCCTTAACATGGCCTCAATGGATTAGGATATTATGACAAACACAAGACAAGGATACCAAAATGCTGTAACACTTATCCCTCACATGTAAAGTGGAAAAGATACTTCTGCTTTTGTTTTCTTGTGCATAACATAGGGTCAGGAAAGGTTCACCTCTTGATGTCCATCAGCACAGGCTATTACAGGAGAGAGTGCCAAATCCTAGACAGGGTGACTCCCCCCAGTGTAGTACTATCAATATTGTTCCTGTCCAAGTGCAGTGAAGTCCTCTATGGTGACAGGAGCACACTGAACAGTCAGAATAACCAAATTATTTCCTCTAGCTGAAATCACTGTTATGGTCTAATTGGGGTTTCAGCCAGCTGGGCACAAACTCATCACATCTGGCAGAGCAGTCGGGGCTGTGCCACCACTGAGTAACTCCAGAGGGCTGGGTAGGCCATGGTCATAGACTTCTGTGGGAGAAGGGGAAAAGATACAGGCACGTTAGTGTGCTTTGACATATTTTTAATGAATTAGAAAAAAATGCATGGTAAATTCATTAAGACTTTTCCATGGGGATCTCTAACCAGAATCCCCTAGCTGGGATTTGAAGGATTTAAGGACAAGATGTAGAAGATGTAGAAGTTTTCCCCTTGGATGAGGCCCAGAGAACATACTGGAAAGATAAATACATGCTTCTCTCCTCATCTTTTCTTTCTCTGTAAAACGTTTAGGCTTAGATCTTCCCTGGAGATAAACTGGCACAGTTTCAGTCGGTGCAGCAGAGCTGCAATAATTTACAAAGAGCCTGTGCATTTAAAATCATGGCAGTTATGGCAGAGAGCGAATATCGCAAACCTCGGTCACTCCTGAAGGACCAGGTCCCCTCCAGCTCCGGTCCCACCGGCTGCTCCTCCTGACCCCACTCCAAAGCCGGGCTCGGCGGAGGTTCTCTCTCATCCACAGCACCCAGTGTGTCCAGAGTACTGTGTGTGTGCAGCACAGCTGCGGCTCAGTGCCCGTCCCGGACCCACCCAGGCCAAGCCGTCCCGGCTGCCTGAGGAGCCGCCCCTGGGGCCCGGGGAGCTCGGGCTGCCCCGCTGCCCTGCCCTGCCCTGCCCCGGCACAGCGGAGCGGGGCCCGCCCGCGGCCTCCCCACATCCTGCGCAGACCTCCGGCTTCCCAGTTAGCGTCCTTCACAAGTAATTAATGCAGAGGGCCGTATGCTGATTCCGCAGAGCCCATTAATCACTTTTGCTGAGGCGCAGGGACTGTTTGTACAGAGTTTGCAGAGATTATCGCCCTGGCTCCGGGATTTGTCACGCTGCATTACAAATGGTGCTTTAGTGAGCTCCTGAGTCCCGGGGGGCATAACCTGTGTGAGGCAAAGGCAGAGGTTTCCCAAGAAGGGGCTTATCTGTTCCAGATTGCTTGATCATGTAAATAGGACTTCAATATGAGATACACATGCAATTAATTCCTCAAGGGTTACGTTTGATAATGGCACAGAAATTAATCTTCATTCACATAAATAACAGTGGCTGTTTCAGAGAATTGAAGTAAAAGCCTGTAGAGATATCCACTATCAAGAATATTGCTTTATTTTCTCTTTTGATAGAATATTGTTGTTATTATTAGTACTGTAACCTGCTTAGATTTCTGCTTTGAACATGTTCTAACAGGGATTAATTCATTAGTAACCAAAGGGAAGGGCACAGCAGTCAAAAAACAGCCGAGCCTCAAGCACCGTCCTGCATGAGGGCTCCCGCCTTTGAGATCCAGTCTCCCATTCACAATCTGGTAGAAAGATGGGACACACTCAATTATAGAAGGCGGGCAGGTGAGCTCGATGTCAAGAGAAATGTGTCCAGGGACTGGGATATACAGTTCTGGCCTGGAAAAAAAAAAACATGCTGAGAAGTCCTTCAGAAAAAACCGTGAAAGCAGGGCATTAGCCTTCTTCTTCAGCATAATGCTATCAGATATGTTTGTGGTGGAAGTAAGCTTGTGTATAGCTGGAGGGTGGTTGAGAAAGCCTTAATCAAATGTGATTTATAAAAGTATAAATGAAAACCAGTTTTGTTATTTATAAGTTTGGTAATTATGTATTTTGAGCAATCCTACCACCTGCAGCTTGAGTCAGCTAGCTACTTCAGAGAGTTCTGGAAGGCACAAGTGAACAGATGGTGTGTTCGTGACACCATCAGGTAGTGGCCAGTGAATATTAGTAAACTGGCAAGTGCCCATCAAAAATTATTCTTAAGCACATAATTAAATAAGTTATAAATAACAATAACAGCCCTAAAAAAAAATCTCATTAGTTGAAAAGGAAGGAGTGGCAGGAGGAACCAACAATTTTTTTCAGGTTAATTATACAGCCTTATTTCTTACCTTTTCCTAGTCCATTATACACAGAGACCAAGTAAAAATCTAATAAATTCAAAAGCTCTCATATATTCTACATAACTGAATTGTCTACCATTTTTATATTGTCAAGCATATGTAATAACAATGTTCTAGCTCTCACTATCATTAAGAAATAAATACAGACTTGAAAACAAGTACCGCAGAAATTACAAAAAGCCAGTTAGATAGAAGAAAATTCCACTATCTGGCATAATGCAGTGATTTGTATGAGTGCCATATCCCCATTTTAATTTTACTATCTTCTTCTCAGAAGCTTGGCAAGCCTGCCTGGGTTCTGATAGCACCAGTCTTTGTGAAAATTTATCTCTGACTCAAGCTTGACACCAGTGGTGGTGTTTGTGTTTAGGGCAACAATAAATCTGACTTTACTACACAAAGAAAAAAGAAACACTGCTGTTCTGTGGGCATTCTATTGATGAGGGAGAACTCTTTTTTTTTTTTTCTTTTTTTTAATATCAATTTAATTAATAAAAAAATCTAATATGAGCAGGCAACTCATATTCTGAAAAGTAATTATGGATAGTGACATGCAAGGCCTACAAATGGAATAAAAATACAAACATGGGACTTGGGTGAAGATTCTGGCTATGGAAATTCAGCTATGTAGCCTTTGAGGACTACAGGAGCCATGGCAGGGCATGCAAAGAGGTAGTCAAGAAAGCTAAGGCTCTTCTAGATCTGAAATTAGCCAGAGATGTCAAGAACAATGATGGGTCTTCAGACACATGACCAATAAGCAGAATCACAGGTAAGACACAGAACTGTTGCTGAACATGGCAGGGAAATTAGCTACTTCTTGTGCAAGGCCACTGTCTGTAATATTTGAAAAGTCATGGCAATCAGGGGTGGATCTCCCAGGGATTGACACTGCCCCCTCATGATGCCAAACATCTTCATAAATGATCTGAATGATGGGACTGAAAGCAGCCTCAACAAGTTTACTGATGACACCAAACTAGATGGTGAGGGGGGCACATCAGAGGGGGAGACGTTTCACAGAGAGACCTGGGCAGGCTGAGAGAGCGAGCAAGCAAGAAGTGGATGAAGTTGAGTAAGTGCAAGGTCCTGCACCTGGGACAGCATAACCAAAGAGCCCAGAACAGGCCAGGATCTGTGCCTAGGGAGCAGCATCTCTGAAAGGGATCTGGGGGTCTGGGGGGATGACAAACTGACCACGAGTCAGACGTGTGGCTGCAGCCACAAAGCTAAATTGGGTTGTAGACTGCATCTGCAGGGGCTCAACTTGCAGTGATAGGGATTTCACCATCCCACAGTGCTTGTCAGGCTGCACTTGGAGTAGTATATCTTGTTCTGGCTCCCACAATTCAAGAACGATGTAAGCAGACTGGGGAGGGTCCAAAGAGGGGCCATGAGGATTATCAGAGAGCTGCAGAACCTGCTTTGTGAGGGAAGACTGAAAGAGTTATGTCTTTTTTTCCTGGAGAAGGCTTATGGAGAGGTCATCACTGTGTTTAAAGGGTGACTACAAGAGGTGACTGCCTCTTCACAAAGAGCCACAGGGGCAACATGAACAAGTGGCAAAGGCAAAGCTTTCATATCAACATAAAAAAGACACTTTTTACACAAAGAGCAATCATTCAGTGAAACAACCTCCCCAGGGATGGGGTGGGGTTCCCCATTACTGGAGGTTTTTTAGACATCATTGAACAAAGTGCTAGATAATCTCACTTAGGCTCCCTGTTCTGTGAATGGTTGTACCAAATGATCTTTCAAGATCCCTTCTAACCTGGGCTATTCTTTGATTATACATTATTCAAATTATCATTTATATCTTAATTTTAGGGTACAGGGATACAATCCTAAGCCTAGTGTCCAGCTGAGTTATATTTAGGATTTATTGTGTATTGGGTGAAGACTGGGCTCTTAGAACTGTGTAAGCACAGTAGCCAGTTGAGTAGTGAATGCTAGTGATGCCAGTCTCTAGAGAGCTTGGGAGCTCAGAGAAGCACATACACCATCATTCCACAGGCAAGAAGCCCAGGTATGTTCAAGGGCAGTAGAATTCAGCTCAGGCACCCATGGAGTCTGTGACAAACAAAGAGCTGAATGCATAGTTCCTGTCCTGCACCTTTTCTCACAAGACGCTTCCTGTCCACACTCTTCCTTGAAGAGCATCCATCAGAAGGCAGAGACTCTGGTTTTTTCAAGTGTGCCTGACTAAGCTGAAATCTGCATTCCTTTTAGGTACTGCTGTTTGTGATGCAGAAGACATTTCAACTTGGAAAAGAGATGAATGAGGGGAAGCATCACAGATGTCTATTCAGTCACAAGTGGCATGGAAAGGGTGACTAAGGAATGATTGGTTAAACTTTTACCCATTATAATGGCCAGCTGGTAGGCAGTAGATCCTTAACTGACACATGAAAGTATTTTTCATAAGATGTGTTCAAGTTATGCAACTCTTTGTGACAGAACATTAGAGGTTTAAAGTTTACATGGTTTGAAGGAGAGATTGAACAAATTAGTGAAAAAGAAATTCATTGTCTGCTGTTAAAAACAAAATATTTTTCTTGGGTTAGGAACTCCCTAATAAGTTGTCAGAATGTTGGAGAGTCATTTGGGGAAGTACCAAGAAGATATTTTGTCAATTTTCAGTCTATTCCTGAGAACAACATTCAGCCACTATTGAAGGCATGATGCTGGCTGAGACAGATTTTTGGACCATCCCTGAACAGCCCTGCTTGTATTCTTTGGAGCTGAAAGAGAGGTCAGGGTGGGGAGGGGGAGCCAGAAATTCTAGAAAAGTGTTCTCTTATTTTTTTTCTGAAAACCTGCCTGTTGAAGTGGCTGCCAATTCACAGAGTGAAAATTTTCCTGTGTTTCTCCAAGACAGTCTGAAAGAGTATCCACCCTGAAGAGTCAAATCAGTAGCATCTTTGGCCCCAGAGGAATTAACATGGCAACAGGATCATTCTGGATCAACCAGAAGTCAAAACTGCAACAAGAAACTTTGGAGGTCCCCTACTGTGTTCTTGGAAGGAGATTAGACTTTACAAAGAACCTATACCATGCCAGGACTGCTGGCTGGCTAGCCCAGAGTATTGCTGTGAGTACCCTCAGGAGCAATTAACCCTATCAGTAACAGTATGAGTAGGGTTGCTCCTGGATGTAACATCTGTGTGCTGGGCAGGGAGCCACTCGCAAGGTCAGGCAAACTCTACAGCAGAATGATTTGGCTGCAAACCTGCAGTGCTGCAAAGTGGGTGATACTGAAAAACCATAAAGACACAAAGTGTTTGGTGGCATGAGACTGACATTCTGCAGGACTTCTTGGGCTATCAGCACAGGATCTGTGAGCAGTTTAGTCAGTTCAGGTTGCTGTTTTGAAAAGGTAGAAACTGAGCCACAAAGGGTAATGAGTTTTTCTTAATGCAATTAAATATTTTTAAAAACACTTGTTTGTGGTTTATTATTCTGTTCCCTACTCTTCTTGACTGCTGAGCCATTTCTGGTTCACCTCTCACTGCTGATCAATTCATTCTTCCAGTTAACACCATGAAACCCTCATATATATTTTTTTCTCTCTTCCTTGGTTTCATTAAATCTCAGTGACTAATATATTGTCTTTTTTCTTCCAGCTTTCGGCTCTGGGTTGTTTTTAATTGGACCCTTGTTAACAGCTTCATTGTTTCCCTGTATCCATACACAAAGCACAGCTGCATGCTCTCCCTCTCAACCGCAGGAGAAGAAATCAGAAAACAGAGCCCCCCTAGGGAGCCCAGGCAGTCTCTTCTATAACAAGCTGTAGCAACTTTTACAAAATGACTGCCTCTGTGTGCAGACAGCTGAGCTCTCTGAGACAAATCTGGGGCTTGGAGTGCACAGACATAATAATTACCAGAAATACATCACAAGCCCCTTTCCCAGCATTAGTTAGACCATTCCTAAATCACAAGGTGCAGTCTCTCTCTCACTCCTGACTCTCTGGGTACAAAAACTTTTGCTTTCTGTCATTCTCTCTCAGAACAGTGCAATTTTTCTCCCTTAAATTGTAAATGATAACACCTGCTGGGGCTCTTATTTGTTCATTCCTGTATCTCTGGCTGCTCCCTGTGTGAGATATTACGCCCACACAGAGGTATGAAATATACAGTAGCTGTTTGTGAAACTTCTATATGAAAGATGCAGTGAATATAAATAATGGTATTGTTCCAACGTTCTTCATCTTGTATTTGACAGAACATGTTCAAGAAACTCCAGGAGCACTATAAAGCTGATGGAGAAGTCATTCACATTGTATCAGTGTAGCTGAAAACAAATGAGCAGGACTGATCTGGACATCCTATTTTCCTTTCACCACCAGAATGTATTTATTCCTCAAGCCATACCATATTCATATTTACTTTAATGATTCATAAATATCCCAGGTTCCAGCAGCTTCTAATTAACTCATCTATTTAGTGTCATTAACAGATGTCCAGGGAGTGATTTATTGTACAGTACTGGATCACACTAACTTATAAATCCAGCCAATTGAATTGGCAGGCAGTCTAGGTAAATATCTTCTGCTGCTTGTAGATGAGACTCCATCTGAAATTCAGCCTTAATGCCCTGCAGACTATGGCTGATGTATTATTGTTTTCTTCCTCTATTACTCTGCATGTGTGTTGTACAACACTGGTTATTTCCTCATCTTTTTTTTTTTAAAAAAAAAAAAAAGAAAGATTTAGTGAGGTGCTGCCTTAGGATTTGGGGTATATTTTTATACTGTCTGAGAAAAGGGGAAATCAATAGCCTCAAAGAAGTTTTTGGTCAAGCTCCTTTTGATTTACCTCTGGCTTCTGTAGTTTCAAAACTGAAACCAGTCCCTGTAACACCCTAAAGCAAAACAATCCTAAACTTCATGGGAAAAGTTATATTGGGAACCTTATCTATAGCAGAGTTGTGGCCACAACTCCAGACTTTTTATTGATAAATAGGGCAATGGCTTTTTGGGCAGTACATGGAGAGAACACCTATGACAGCAGAGTTGGCTCTGTGGGTGCTCCCACAGTGGTGTTTCTCACAGGCCTAGGGATGCTCCTAGAGATTCACACTGCTGAATTCCTAGAGGGACTTGCCAAGGTTCACAGCCTGGGCCAGCTAAACCTCACTGAAGCTGGCAGGCAGAGGCAGTGCAGCCCTAGAGCAGCTGCAGGGCTCGCTGGCAGCACAGCGGTGTGAGCTGTGAGAGCCCAGCCCGGGCAGAGCCAGCCCTGCCAGCTGGGCTCCGTGCTCCCGGCTGCTCCCAGGGCTACTGACTGAACAGCAAACACAGCCAGGCAGCTTTGGCCTGCACGACTTGCTTCACTTGGAAACTAGGTGGGCTTCTCTTTAAAATTCCAAAGTGGTAAAACACATGGTCTGATTGCCTCTGCTTGTTGCCTGGAGCTCTCTCCCAAAGCTCACAGACAAATTACTTACCACACAGAAGGACAGCTGCAGGTATGCAGCAGATAAATTTTACAGTTTTTCTCTTAAGAGCTCACTCCCTTCATATTCCAGTTCTTCCCAATGGCAGCACCCTGATAGATAAATGCTCTTTTAAATTCCTTAAGCTGGGAGTCATTAGAGGACTGTTAAAATGTTAAAATGTTAAATTATTCTCTTTTTTTTACAGAAATTATGTTTGTGTCTGTTTACGGTCTTTAAAAAAAAAGGTGTATTTAAGCTTTGTGTTTCAATGACATTGAAAAGGACTACCGTAAATAATTAGGGTGTTTTCTGCTTTGTTTTTAAAAACAATATTTTGAGTAAAGTTACTGGGTTTTAATATACTTTTGACTCAGATTGAGATTTTGATGGTGAACCAACTCTGCTGTCTGCTCCAAGCTTTACTTACAGCAGTGATGTCTGTGGGTGGGTTTTGGGAGGGGGAAGAAATGTAAGCAGTATTTATGGAGGAATGGGAAGCAAAACTACATCAATATGGGACTGTGCCCAAAGAAGTGAAGGTATAGGGACTATGACAGCTTGAGAAAGGTAAAATACATCAAAAAAATATGCTGCATTAAGGTATTTCTAGGAGTTACTACATTTCTCCTCAGGACTCACTTCAGCAATCAAAGTGGGAACACCACCATGATGAGCCTGACTGTTTTAAATTTCAATTTAAAACAAATTTAAATTAAATTAAATTAAAGCTTTCATCTTCACTATAGCACCCTTCTTCCCTGCTTCTGTCTCTCACAGTCTGTTCCAAAGATGCTTATGGTCTCTCAGAACAACGCAGGCACAGTCTCTCCTAACAGCTGTGCTGGGGCTGCAGCAGCAGTGTCCCATGGGGCAAGCACAGAGTGCACCATGCACCTCCCTGTGCTGGCCAGAGGGAACACGCTGCAGACATCACCCCACAGTCTGCTAAAACTGGCCAACTCCCATCACTCGAGCTGGCTTCTCAAATTCTGTGAAACAACTGCCTATATAATTTGAAAAGCCAACAGAAGGAGTCATACATTATAGCTATGTATTGCAGACATTCAAGAACATGTGCAGACAATGCACAAGAATTACTTTGCAAATGCATGATACATAGGCTGAAGAATTGTTTAGAACACACAGCTTAAACCCACGTAGGTCAAGAAGCAGAAAACTTTCCTTTTACAAACATGTCAGTTAAGAAGAAATACACTGAGAAAAGTTAAAAATCTGGGAAGAGACGACTGGGAACACCGTGAGACCACACTGATGCCACAGCACGTGGTATGACACACTCTATTGTCATTTCAGTCACTCACTTCAGACTAATGTCACCTAACATTTAAGGAGGCATGGGAAGCAATAGTTATAGAAAATCAGGTATTTGAAACCATTTTGGAAACTCTCTTTGTGCTACTTCAGGCTGGATAAGTTAGTTTTCTTCACAGTAGCTGTGTTTATGGATTTATGCTTAAGTGTTGGGATGTTTTCATTATATCTGAGCAGTGCTTACACAGGCCCAAGGCATTTTCTGCTTTTCACCCCACCAACAAGTAGGCAGGGGGACAAGAAACTGGGAGGGGACACAACCAGGGCAGCTGATCCCAACTGACCCAAAATATTCCATAGCATACGGCATCACACTCAGCATATAAAGCTGGGAAAGAAGGTGGGAGGACATTTGGAGTACTGTTTGTCTTCCCAAGTCACCATTACTGATGGAGCTCTGCTTTCTTGGGGGCACCTGTCCATGGGAAGCTGTGAATTAATTTCTTTTTCTGCATTGCTTGTTTTGCTTTGCTTGAGTTTTACATGCTTTCCATGACTTTTACTTTCCTTATTAAACTGTCTTTATCTTAACCCATGAATTCTTACTTCACCCTTCTGATTATCTCCACCCCAATGCAGGGGAAGCTGAGTGAATGGCTGCATGGGGCTGAGTTGCCAGCCAGGGTTAAACCACAAACCTCTTCTCCAAACCAGTTGTGTTCTGCTCCTACCTTACAGAACAGCAGAACAGTCATCAGGGCCTGAGCCCCATCACCCTCAGCTGTTTGTATTCCAGGAGTTCTGCACAGCTCAGCTATACGGAGAAGCATTAGGTGCTACCAGTGCTTAGATTCAGCATTTTAAAGCTGCATTTTTCCTATGAAAAATAAAGAATAAACTACAGGTGAAATAGGCAAGACTAGAGATGCCCTTATATTGTCAGGAATATCAAAACAATTGCACACCCTCTGGAATTTTCTAAATAAATAAAGATCTACACCAAGAGCCATATTGGTTCACATGGTATATACAGAAAAATTTAGGCTGGAAGGGCTTTTGAGGGCATATGGTCTTTCTGCAAGAGTTAACTTTTGTATTCAAACAGAGATAAATAAGCTATTGGGTTATTTTAGGCCAGTTGTAAAAACTAATTTTATTAATATTAGAAACCTTGACTTAGAAAGAAGTCTAATATCGCACCAAAATCCATATGGAAGCCAAGAAGCATTTCTAAAAAAATTCTACATAGCATGTGAATTTTAACACAAAACATGATGCTGAAGAGAATAATGAAATATAAGGGTTCCTAAATATTTTGTCACAAGCCCAATACCAGTACCACCTCATAAAAATAAATTTTAATATTAACAACTCAATTTCATATGACTGCATACTAATTGCTTTTTTTTTCAAAGTTTAAACAATGTTCAAGTTCTGTGTTGTCTACAAAGATGGGCTTATTCTCCTTCATTTTTCTGCACTGACTGCATGGCTTCTGCTTTAACTCTATTTCGTTTTCTTTTCCTTCTTTTCTTCTTTTCAGCAGAAGGCTCCTGACCCTCCTGTGTTTTCTTCTTTTTCTTCTTCAGACAGCTGAGAGGATTTGGGCCGCCTGCCCTTTTGCGTTTTCTTCTCTTTTCACCTTCTTGCTTTACTAGTCCTTCTTTTTCTTTAAGCTCCACAATACTTTGCTTTTGGTACTCTGGAACAAGCTGATTTGTCTGCAACTTTTGAACAAATGCCAAAGATTTAGGAGAAGGTTTGTCCAGAACCATAGTGTTCTGAATAATAAAGAGAAGAGGAATGCCAGGCTTCTTTTTCACTTTGTTTGATAAGTCCTGGTCCTGCAAAATTAAATACTTAAGTCAATATTTTCAGATTAAATGGTATTTGCAATTCAAATTCACCTACGTTTAATACAAAACTATGAAGATAAATTACATTATGAAAAAGATAAGAAACTTAATCTAGCAGATAGACATGGCAGTGCCTTTCAGAGCAACTAAATTTCAATTTCTCTCCTGATTAGCTGTACTTCTGATGCAAAATTTACTAACATTTCCTTTTTACCTGCATGTATTTGCATGAATACATTTTTTGAGGAAAAAATCCCAGTTCATTTGTATGAATCACACCACATGAAGCAACATAATTTTTTCTGTAACAAATCACTTTTAAACTCCTGTAACAGGTCACTTTTAAACTCTTGTAACTTGTAACTATAAAGAATTCTACTATAAACTGCTTTATATATATTGTATATAATTTATACATGCAGTCCCAATAACAAGCCCAAGAAAAAAATTGTCTTTTTTATTTGTACAGTTATTTATTCTTTAGTTCAAAATTTCTAAAAATTGAAGTTATATGGATATTAACATTTAATTTTTTCAGACTACTGTGCAAAGTAGCTCAGTTGCACACATGTGCAATATGCAAATCAACATTAACGAGTTCTTTAACCTTAGGTATCAAAGCATCACTTCAAAAGAAATGGAGCTATTTCTCATGAGCTTTTACCTGTGTAGCAATAAAGAAGTGATGAGAGTTGCCATCTTCAATCATGGAAAGTAAACAGGTTGAGCCACTCACAGGATGCTTATGGTGAGAACACTTTCGAACATGGAATCTCTGGGCAATTAATTTTGCTCCATACAGTGCTTTCCCCAGTGATTCAAGTTCTTTTATAACACATCTGAAAACCAAGAGAGACAGTAAGTTTTAAACAAAAAACTCGTATTTTTTACAACAGCAAAAGGCTTATGTGAGTTACTTAGGAGCAATGCCCAGTTGTTCAGGCTCTATGATTTGTAAATGGGACCCAGAACTCCGAAAGCAATAGCCCATCTGAAGACATCAGCAAGATTTCCTTGGTTGCAAACATGATTAACTAGTAATAAAATTAAGATATATGATATGACTTAAAAATAATTCACATCAGTGACAATACAGAATCCTTAAATTTATGTTCAGATACAGCTGAGCATATGAACTACTACTTAACAAATAAAATTATTTTTAAAATTTATTTTTAAATTAACTTATTATAAAACTTGAAAATTTAATTTATTTTTTAAAATGGAAATAAAGTATCTGTGGAACAACAGGCCAGTCAGTCTCACATCTGTGGCTGGCAAGATTTTGGAGTGGATACTACTGAAAGTATATAAGGCATGAGGAAAACAAGGAATTGACTGGTGACAGCCAACGTGGCTTCATTAAGGTGAAATCATGAAAAATATGGTGGCCTTCAGTGATAAGGAAGAACAAGAGATGTCACCCAACTGGACTTATGCAAAGCTTTTGACAGTGTTCCATACAACATCCCATTCTTTACATGGGAGGCATGGATATGACAGATGGATCACTTGGTGGATATGGACTGACTGGAGGGTTGCACCTGAAGAGTTGCTGTGAACAGCTGAATGTCCAAGTGGAAACCAGTGACAAGTGCTGTTCCTCCAGGGCTGGTACTGGGATCTGTTTAACATTTGTGTCAGTGGCATGGACAGTGGGATCCAGTGCACCCTCAGCAAGTTTGCCATTGACACCAAGCTGTGTGATACTGTTGACACCGGAGGGAAGGGATGCCATCCAGAGGCCTGGTGAGGCTTCAGAGGGGCTTGTGTAATCCTTATGAAGTTCAACAATGCTAAGTGCAAGGTCCTGTGCATGAACCAGTGCAACCCAAGCACAAGTATTGGGAAGAGAAAGGATTGAGAGCATCCCTGACAAGAATGACCTGGGAGGTGTGTTGGTGGTCAAGAAGCTCAACATGAGCTGGCAATATGAAAGCAAACTGTGTCCTGGGCTTCATCAAAAGCAGTGCAGGCAGCAAGGTTAGGGAGGGGATTCTCCATCCCTACCCCACTAGTGAGACCCAACCTGGGGGTCACAGCGAGCCAACTCATTTCCCCTGCAAGGCTCTTTTCATAACACTGAGGTGCTGTCTCAGCAACTCAGTGTTCTGACAGCAAAGAAAACACGTCCATTCAGCTGGCCTAAGTGGAAGCTGGTCAAAATGACTAACAGATATTGCTGATAAAAGAATCAAGAAGTGACATTTCAACATGACAGGAAAGCAATTCCCAAGCCTTTCACAGCTAAGGATATGGCAATACTTTATACTGTTTGGAAGTGCAGGCCAGTTAGATACACTGTCAAGAAGGCTCAGTGTGTTTTTTGAGCCTGGGGTATACATCTTCCTGGTGTTTTCACTACATGCCTCCATAGTGGGCAGATGGCTATTCTGTTATTGCAGATACACAATATAACTGTATTTTTGTATTTCAATATATACAACATACATAAGTAATAGCAAAGGCAATTTGGAGGCAACTTCATGTCTTTGTCTAAGCAATCCTTGTCCTCCCTTGCCAACAGCTGCTTTGGAGACAACTCGGCGCTAGCAGGCTGCATCTCCAGCCAGGCAGGAACTCCCTCCAGGCCCAAGAGATCTCAGCTTGCCCCTGCTGTTACCACTTCTCCAAGCAGACGCTGCTGGTGGGAAGAGACCCACCAGGCCCTCCCTCACACAGCGGGGTTCCCGCTGGCCCCGCAGTTGGTGCCGCTTTCCGAAAGGCAGCTGGGCAGGGGGGTGCTCCCAGCCTCCTGCAAGTTGCCCTCAGCCCCCAGCG